TCCTCTGACTGCCTGGACCTGCTGTCTCGAGCGCATGGCTGTGTGTGCGTCTGTGTCTGTGTGGTCACGTGATGTGCATTTTCTGAGGTAGAGAGGAAGGAGGGCTGCTCAGAAATGCTACACGCCACTGTGGATGTCAAATCGTTGTCGTTCTAAAATGCCATTTAAAAACAAAGACAGTGGAAACAGGGCCTGAGTGTGTACTTTTTGCGAGCGGATTTGCAACGGGGGCGGGCGGAGGATCGCGATGCCGGTGTTGTCTATCAGACGAACCGTACGTAATACGTACATAGCAGAGCTTGCAAAACTGTGTGTTTTTTTTTTGTCGACAATACGAACGCTGTCAACATAACTCACTGGAAATCCAAAATGCTTACACACCGGCGACTTCATTGAAAGAGGAGAGGGTTTAAGTTCTGTCGACGGGTCTCCTGCTTCTGCAGTTTAATAAGCACTTCAATAAGCCTGTTTTTTTTCCCGCTTGGCAAGCCAAGCTGACGTGACATGGGGGCGTGGCAGCATCGACGATTCTATTTTTTGATTCGATAATCTAAATTGAGCATAAATTTCGATCGATTTCGATTAAAAATCAAAATCGTGACACCCCTAAAATTAACTAATGTTTATGACTATTTGAGCCTTACTGGACAATGTTAACACACAATAATAGCCCTTCAAATAGTCACAGAACGTTCAAATCAGTATTTCAGCATGTCGTCAGCCAGATTAACGTGAAAATGTTCAACTATTAAGCAAATTAATTAGGGGTGTATTTGATCAAGGTGGATCCGTGATCCGTACAGATCACAATTCGCACTTCGGAACGCACGTGACCTGCGGATTGATAACTTTTTTCGAACTTGTACACTCATAGAAATAAAGGTTGTCACTGGTTATGCTCCTATGCAGGTCCAAACGCTTACACATCGCCTAATACACACAGGATGTACAGCAATACACAAATATCTTTACAGATGAAAAATATTGTTTAAAAACAAATCTTTGCACTTAACAAAGAAAAAAAATATGTAGGCTAATGGATGTCTTCAGTGGAGTGAGTTTCCACCCGTTTCCTTACTCAACCAAAGTAAAGCAGTAAAGTAAAGGAGTAAAGTAAAGGAGTAAAGTAAAGAGAAAGTAAAGAGGCTGAATGGAGGAGGCTCATTCTTTATTTTTGCGTTGCAGATGCTCTGTCTAACTGTTTTCTCGCTAGTGTAAATAGCAAATGTGGCATGGCGTGACGCAACTGACTGTTAAAGGGAATGTGAAATGAGACCCTTTTTGGTTTAATGCCTATTATGCTCAAAACACACCCAGAGCTCATTAAGAGAATAAGCATTGTTTTGGTGCCCAAACCCAAACGTATTAGCCAAATCCCACTATATAGTTTCATTATATAGTTTGAAGTACAGTATGTGTGTATGGATGTTTCGATGAGTTGTTTAGCCTGAGTTACCTGGGAGTTTTAATGAAGCCAAATGTATTCATCTGCGGTTTATTTTTACACACACAAACTCCACACACTCCAGATCCCAAACCCAAACCTTTGGCTTTTTTATTTTCATTTTCCAGGCTCTTTCCGTGTGGATTTGTCACCACACATTTGGTGTCATGCACGAGAGCGTCGCAAATTCAAACAAAACTGAAGGTCAAAGCTGCTTGCTGTGAGAACCATTACCATCAGGAAAAATGTCACTTTTTATTTTTATCTCTAGTCATCATCTACCTCCCCCTCTCTCTCTCTCTCTCTCTCCTCCCTCCGCATCCGCTTTTCCTCTCTTTTCATCAAAGATCAGCAATAATCTTATGGCCAATTACAATTCCTCCAACACCTCGCTCATATTTTAAGGCTATTTCGGGTAATCGCTTGACATTTCAGTTGCGTTTTCATCAATCGGCGGATTTTGGTTGGGTTGCCAGATTGTTTGCATTACATTAAACGTCTTACCTGTGCATTTAGTTGTTTGGTGGATTGAGATTTTTCCTTTTTTGGCGCATATCGAAAGCAACTTTACCTTGATATTTTTTGTTCTTAGCTTGACCGTAGAACGTTTCCAGCAAGCTCTTGAACATCCACCCCCAAGTGAAGAGGTTGTTAAAGAAGCGTCTTGAGCTATTTGACGACAGTTTCCAGCAGATTTAATTGGTATGTAGGCTGCAAGAAGGTGCATTGATTCGAGTTGCATTCTTTTTTGACCACTGCTGGAAAAAAAAAAAATCAACAGCATTTTAAATTGATAAGCGGAAAAAAAAAAAAAAAATTGTCATCTGAATTATGTATGGATCTTTCTCTCTGCGGAGATGTCGAGAAGCTGCGGGTGTTTGTTGAGCAGGACGAAGGCGTAGGATATATTTTATTAAATTAGTTGATAGTTAAATAACGCTGTTGCATTTATGCACAATAAATCCTAGGTTATGTTTTATGTAAAATACTGAACAGTGTGCTGTAAAACCGTTTTTTGTATTATGATTTACGGAAGACGCCCATTAAAATTCAATCATTCAGTGGAAGAATGGATTTACTCCAAATTGTCGAGCATATTTACAACAGGAATCACTTGATAACATGTTTAGATGCACTATTTAAAGATCACAGCCCCTAAAATACTCATTAGTTGTCATTTTAAATATTTTAATTTAGTCAATTTCCTTCCAACCATAAGATTTTACCTGTTTAATAAATATATTATACCACAGAGCTATTGAATTCTCAATTCTGATCTAATCTAAGAGGTGCCGTTACTTTCAGATAAACGCACAGATAAAGTAGTTCCTGCAGGTTTTGAGCTCAATACAGCTTCATATCACTACGCTGAATGATTTTAGTCATATCACGGTCACACTTTACAATAAGGTTCATTAGTTAATGTTAATTAATGCATTTACTAACATAAACAAACAATGAACAATACATCTACTACTGTATTTGTTCATGTTAGTTAACGTTAGTTAATGAAAATACAGTAGTTCATGGTTAGTTCATGTTAACTCATGGTGCATTAACTAATGTTAACTAGCATAGACTTGGATGTTAATAATGCATTAGTAAATGTTCAATTATGATTAATAAATGCTGCACATGTGTTGTTCATGATTAGTTCATGTTAGTAAATGCATTAACTAATGAACCTTATTGTAAAGTGTTACCCATATCACTGTCAGAAATCACATCAAAACACAACAGAACGCTTTGGATGGGATGTGTAAGAAACTAGTGCTACAGCCATGTCACCCTGCAGCCCCAGACCGGTTACTCACTGAAGCTAAGCAGGGCTGAGCCTGGTTAGTACCTGGATGGGAGGCCACTAGGGAACACTAGGTTGCTGTTGGAAGTGGTGTTAGTGAGGCCAGCAGGGGGCGCTCAACCTGAGGTCTATGTGAGTCCTAATGCCCCAGTAAAAGTGAAGGGGACACTACACTGTCAGTGGGCGCCGTCTTTCGGATGAGACGCTAAACCGAGGTCCTGACTCTCTGTGGTCATTAAAAATCCCATGGCACTTCTCGTGAAAAAGCAGGGGTGTAACCCCGGTGTCCTGGCCAAAGTCCCTCTATCGGCCCATACGATCATGGCCTCCCAATCATCCCCTTCCACCGAATTGGCTCTATCACTGTCTCTCCACTCCACCAATAGCTGGTGTGTGGTGAGCGCACTGGCGCCGTTATCCTGTGGCTGCCGTCGCATCATCCAAGTGGATGCTGCACACTGGTGGTGGTGTGGAGAGATCCCCCTCTCATGATTGTGAAGCGCTTTGGGTGTATGGCCATACACAATAAAATGCGCTATATAAATACACATTACATTACATAACATTACATTACACTTGAGCAGTTTGGGGACAAAGACCTGGCAAATGTCTGAAATACAACATCCGAACAGTGGCTTTAGCTGTGGAAACCATAGTTTAAGTGCAATAGTTAACTTTGATGTGTTTAATTAGTAGAAAATAATGCAGAGTTTATATTTAATAATCCAAATGGATAATCCAAATAATCCTGAGGTTTAATGACTTTGCTTTGCAAGCGTCAACATCTCAGGTGCGCATTGTTTTTTATTGATTCCATGGCTCATCGTCAATTAATTGACTCTGGTTTGTTGAATTATTAGAAAAAAAGTCACACGCGGTGTGCCTTATTTT